CGATCTTACAGTCAATCATGAAGGTAGAAACATTATGGTTTGGGGCTGTTTTTCTGCTAAGGGTACAGGATGAGATCACTGCACTGTGGGGCCGATTGAGGGGTCCATCTACCATAAAATCTTGGATAAGAACCTTCCTTCAGGAGTTCTGAAGATGGGCCGTGGAGGGGTCTTCCAGCTCAAACAATCAAACAACATTACCCCAAGTGTATGTATATTGTTGGGTTTTATAATAATAATGAGCATATTGGTCTGTAAAAAGAATGAGTCACTGATAACTGCTCATATAACTGTAAGTTAACTTGCTGTGCATCCCACCCTGTCCAAAATGAACTTCTCAGTGAGAGTCAGTGGTTGTGAAATAGCTTTGTTTCTTATCGCTGCTAATTGCCTTCTCATATACCCCACCAGCTCGTCTTCTCAGCACCCCTCCTCACTGGCTTGTAGCATGTATGTGGATCTTTCTCAGCACATTCCTGTCCTGATGTGTCATCTAGCAGCTTCACACAAACCATAACATCACCAGCCTCAGAGGAGCGTTGGGGGATTAACTTCTGAAATGAACCTTTTCACTTTTCTCACACAGAAAAAAAAAGGAATTATCAGGAGAGATGAGACAACTAGCTCTAATCATGTGTTAAAAAATAAAATTAGCACAAAGTGCAGCTCTGTTCATGAGCTAGTGCTCGTCGGAGAGGCTGAGTTAGTGAAACAGCAAAAAGGCATTGACTTGTACATATATGGTTGTCTCCAACTTTAGCACAAGTGCTCCATTGTGAAGTATCACGTCACCGTTTGAGATTAGCCAAGTGAAACACACATTTTTTGATCAGCCTACAAGTCTTTTTTTCAGGTTGTACTTTCCATAAGATGTACCCCCTTGTGTCTGTTCACATTTATTTCGCACATGGCAGTGTACCACGGGATTTCTCTCTTTCCGTGAGCTCATACATAGGTGGTCTTTTTCCCCTCCCTGACAGATAAAACCTGAAAAACAAAGAACAGACGTTTGCTAAAAATGTTGGTAGAGGGAAGACGTTGGGTTATTCTGGTTAAATTAGGCAACAGCCATTGAAATGCCCTGAAAAGATTGTGAGTCATAAATCTGCCAAGTGATAAATCAATGAAGATTTCCACAACGTGAATTGATGGAGTTGATGGATGTGTGTATATCAGCAGGTGAAGCGCAAACACAGAAGGAACGTTTATCAATGTGTGTGTGTACATAGCATAGATCGGTGGCAATTATTGCTGATAATGAAACACCCCGCCCATTACATAGTTTCTTTGTGCAAGCTGCACATTTGCACAAATCTGGTCCAACAGGTAACAAAACATTTGGTATAAAATGTTAAAAGACATATCTCAAAAAATACAAAGACAAAAAAGTGGTGGAACATATTCAATGTTTTAAATCTGCAGTTGTTTTGCTGGGTTTACACAGTCGATGCCCACCAGCTAGGAGAGGGTATCATACTGTCCAAGCACAGTTTACTTTGCCATATATCACAGCCTGTCAGAGGTGTTATAAGGTAGAAGGGAAGCTCATAAAGTGGCGTACATGTTCCTTATACCCAGTGTTTGCTGTGTGTGTATAAGTATGTATAAAATACAATGAGGATGTAGATTGTATGTGTCCAAGGTGTGACTAAAGCATGTGAAGTAAACTTGGTTGCAAAATAATTTTAATGCAACTGTAACTATGAAACATGGAAAATGCAACTTCACAAAGGTTGTTTTCCAGGTTTCCAGAGCTTCTACATTCAGAAGCTCTGGAAACCTTATATATAAAAAAGGCATTCTGATATTACGTAATTCTTGTGCTTTTAATGTGCTGTAAAAGTGTAACGTGATGTAATTTTCTCCCCTGACATTCCCTCATCTCTCCCCCTCTTGCTCTTTCTCCCCCCTTATCCTTCACTCCCCTACTGAGGACACCAGCCAATCGCACCTCAGCAGGGTTCCTCCCCTACCCTGATAAATAGTACACAGGACCAGGGTGGGTCTGTCTGCCTGACTCTCCTCTCAGCAGTCTCTCCTCTCACAAAACCTCAGTGCTACAGACTTCCTCCTACACCATGTCTGTCAGAGCTGTGAAGACCACCGCCTACTCCACTGTGTCCTCACCCAGAAGCCCAACGCTGGGCTTCAGCAGCCGCTCCTTCTCTGGCTATGGAGGTCATGGTGTGGGGAGTGCCAGGCAGAGCTACGCTGTCCGCAGCTCATATGGAGGAGTGGGCAGCAGTGGTGCAGCTGTGGGTGTTGGGGGCTGTAAGACGGTCGGTGGGTTTGCCGCTGGGGGATCCGGACAAAGATTAGGTGGCGTAGAGTTTGGATATTCAGGCTTTGGTGGAGGTGTAGCAGGTGGCATGGCCAATGAATTTGTGGCCCCCATCACAGCAGTGACAGTGAACAAGAGCCTGTTGGCTCCCTTGAACCTGGAGATCGACCCCACCATCCAGGCAATCCGTACCGAAGAGAAGGAGCAGATCAAGACCCTGAACAACCGCTTTGCTTCCTTCATCGACAAGGTCAGTCGAGGTTGTAATGAAATGTGAAATCTTGTGTTTGAAATTCATGCTGCAGAAAAGCACATACAAACAGAAAAACACCAACAGCAAACAATCCATACTTCTATAAGTGACAGGAGTGCTGGGGTGAAACTGAATGTGACGACAGTAGCAGAATAGCACAGACAAACTGCAGAGATACGCTACAAGCCAAAATAAGTGAAAGATGAAAGAAGTTTGATTTCACAGAAGAGATCATCCTTAAGACATTCCCTGTCAAAACTTCATAACAATGTGCCATCTATACAGTCTGCTGGGAATATTGCCTGGTTTGCTTAGTGGCTTTCCTGCTTCCAGTGTTTTCAATCTCAGGCGAGATCATAGAGCTCAGATAAAAGGATCAACCTGGATACAGAGTACAGGAGTGGGATGAAGAGCAGATGAATTTTGCTCGAATGAGTGCATTCCCCATACAAGCAATATTCTGCAAAACGAGTGGTTGTGAAAGTAGAGAGCGAAGTGTCAGGTGTCTACCAAACAGAATCGCGTTTGGAAAATCTCATTTACCGAATTATTTTCAACGTTCATGACCTGAATTTTCATCACCAGAGACCTACCACATTCTTTCGTTATCTGTCGCTGAAACCCATAAACAGACCGTCAAGGTTCACAAAGCTTTCAGGAGAGCAGGGTGGGACAGAAGTTGATATAAAAATCAATCACGCTGAGGCTAATTCTCCTGCTTGTAAAACACAGCTCACGCGTCCACTCCTTTGCGCACTGGTGTGATATGGCACACCCACAAACAGCAGTCTGCCTCTCCTGTGTTTGCTGAGTGGTAGCATGGACTCCACCCAAGGTCATGACGCTTAATGAAAGAGCTGTAAAAGGGGCAAGCTGTGTGGCAAGTGAGAAACAGTGCCACTTCGTGTCGAAACGCAACACAGTGGGTTAAACTTGAGATTGGAGTATTTGCTGTGACAGATAGAAGCAGCTGGAGGCCAGAGAAGTCTGGTTACTCATTTTTTCCTTTCAGTTAATCTCTCTATGTTTTGGATTCAAACAAAACTCTTCAGTCACACCCACCCTTTCCACCACATATCCCAGTGACCAACCACTCCATTATTTATTGTTTTCTATGGAAAGGTTTTGATATTTGTCAGAGCTTCAGTCATCACATACACCCACTCGTTTCTGCCCATTACATGTTTCCTTCCTTTTTCTTACTAAGCATTCATCCACCTTTCAATCTTCAGGTACGCTTCCTCGAACAGCAAAACAAAATGCTTGAGACCAAATGGAAACTTCTGCATGAGCAGACCACATCTCACTCAAACATCGATGCTATGTTCGAGGCCTACATTGCCAACCTGCGCAAGCAGCTGGACCACTTGGGTCACGAAAAAGTCAAACTGGAGTCTGACCTGCATAACGTAACGGGCCTGGTGGAGGACTTTAAAACCAAGTGGGTGGAGTTGAGATTTTTCACTTTAATCTTGCACTCTAGCATAAGGCATGCTTTATTTGACCGAGATTTGGGAAAGTCTTAAACTGCCAACGATACTCTATTTCCAGTTTTCCAAGACTTGTGCAGTTTGGCTTCTAGAAAGCCTGAAGAGCTATTTTTAACTTCCTGTCAGGAACCCAAAGTTTCAACAAGATAGAGCGGATAAGACGATAAAAATAATCATTTGCAGTGTGGTGGAGCAAAAATAACAATAACCCTGAATATTCACAGTTAATATTGACTGTCAGCACCACATGTATTCACGGAGGTTTTCTTACTAGAATAGCTTATGATTTAAACAGCTGCTCCTTTATTCAGAAGGGGTTGCCACAGCACACAGCTCTGCATGTTTGCCCTGGCAGACTCTGGGATTTTTCACATATTAGGCAAAGATAGTAACTTACAGAACCATTTCCATATTAACTTATGGAGCTATCAGTTCTGAAAAAGCACCTTTCCCACCATGATGATTGCACACTACCTGTTTTTCTTTATATACAGACTAAAAAAAATCTCCTTTTCCGCAGGTACGAGGACGAGATCAACAAGCGCAATGAGTGTGAGAACAACTTCGTCTTATTAAAGAAGGTCTGTGCAGACTTTCTAGTAAATGCTTGATCTTGAAACTACAATTAGCTTTCATGCTCAGTGAGGAAAAATAATGCCCTCTTTTTAAACTTTGACTGTAATGAACAATGAATGTTCTCAGTGCTGTCTTTTTTCCAATAAAGGATACAGACGCAGCATACATGATGAAAGTGGACCTCGAGGCCAAACTGGATGGACTTTCAGATGAGATTGAATTCTTGAAGCAGCTCTACGATGCAGTAATTACCTCATTTCATTTTTCACTTCCAACCTAATAAAAAATGTTTCTACAGGAGGCATCACCAAAGTTGTATTTTTTCCCACTTTTTTGTCCTTCATAGGAAATTAATGAGTTGCAGAGCCAGATAAAGGACACGTCTGTTGTGGTGGAGATGGACAACAGCCGTAATCTTGACATGGACGCGATTATCGCTGAAGTGCGTGCCCAATATGAAGACATTGCCAAAAGGAGCAGAGAGGAGGCTGAGTCATGGTATCAGACCAAGGTGGGACCACAAAGCTATGGGAAACTAAAGCCCACAATTACGTAATAGATCATCATCTGTGAGGACAGTCCATTAAGCTTATTTAATGTTCATGAACATTTAAAACTGAAGAGCATGAACTCCAAAGCTCTGCATGGTACAAGAGTTTTACTTGTGGCAGATGGTGTGGGATGCCTTCTCTTTTCTGACTTTTCTGACCTCTATCGTCTCCTGATATTCTATCTTAGCCTACTTTCCTTTACTTTTATTGCAACATACTGAAAAGTTTCATATACAAAGAAGTCAAAGAGCAGAAAGCTAATATGGATCTGGAGATTGCAAACTGTATGTTGGAGTGCTGCAACATGATTTCCTGATCCCCATGTCAAATTAATTGTGCAAAAAACCTGCCAGCAGTATCACTTTGTGTTTTAAAGTTTCACTATGATCTGTCTCTTTTCATGCCAGTACGCAGAGATGGAGCAGTCAGCGGGTAGATATGGAGACGACCTCAAGTCAACCAGGGCTGAGATTGCTGACATGAACCGCAGGATAGTGAGGCTCCAGTCTGAAATCGACATGGTTAAAGCTCAGGTGAGGGACAGAGATTTTCTTCTGTTCATTCGAATGATTTGAGGTTTTGACATTAAGGTAATAATTCAAACTGCATCGCCAGCCTTATGAAGACCATTGAATTCAATGCCTCGCTCTGCTTGGCTTCTCCCACTTTTAGCGAGGCAGTTTGGAAGCTCAGATCGCAGAGGTTGAGGAACGCGGCGAACTGGCGGTGAAAGATGCCAAACTCCGCATCAGAGAGTTGGAAGAAGCTCTTCAGAGAGCCAAACAGGATATGGCACTCCAAGTCCGCCAATACCAGGAACTTATGAATGTTAAGCTGGCTCTGGACATTGAGATTGCTACATACAGGAAACTGTTGGAAGGAGAGGAGAACAGGTCATCTAACAGCACCTATGCTCTCCTACATCTTACATAGCAATATACTCATGCTTTTACTTGTTCTTGACTTTTATTTATTATTTCTTTCTTCCCAAAGGTTGGCAACTGGAATTCAGACCACTGTGTCCAAGCAGACTTGTGAGTTCATACTTGTGTGCAACTATTTCTAGTTCGGCTTTGTTAATTGTTGCTATATAGAGCATTTTACTGGTCAGACAAGCCCACAACCTTGCCATGACTGAAGCCATGTTATCTAGATATCATATCTGAGAATACAGTTTATATTGTTAGAATCTCATAATATCAACTCTCTGATATATTAGCATGTGTCAATGTTAATCACTCACTTCTTCCTCTGAATTTGTAGGTGTGAACTACAATGCCTACGGTCTGGAGAGTTCCTACATCCCTTCCTACATCAGCAGTTCCTTTGATAAAGTCAAAGCAAGCAGTGGGTCTACGTCAGCAGTCGAGGGAACGGCAGTGAAGAGCACCACAGTCACCAAGACGGAGACAGTGGTGATGAAGACCGAGGAGAAAAAAGAGAAGGAAGAGAAGAAGGAGGAGGAGAAGGAGCAGGTGGAGGAGGAGAAGCCAGCAGCAGCAGCCAAGGAACCAGAGGCTGTGGAGAAGAAGGAGCCGGAGCACGTGGAGGCCGAAGCTGCAGCCGAAGAGTGATTTTCCATCCTGTTTTGAGAAATTCATGATTTGTTGTTGAAGATTAAGAAAAAGCACATTCTTTTTCATTATCCAACTTTCACCCAAAAAATGTGTGAAGATGTGTAAACACACCTTTCCTTCAGATATCTTTAACACAGCGGTGCTTATTGAGCTTAAATATCCAAAAGCTCTCTAAAATTCTCTACTGTCACCTGAAGCAGTGCCAGACTTTAACTCTTTCCCCCTTAAAGATGATATTTGATGACCTCCCCATACCCCATGACAAGTGTTGACAATCACAATATATATTAAAGGTAAATATGTGGTTTGACGACCGTTTGAATAGTTTGAGTTTGTTTTATAAGCAGCCCTGAAATAAAGGGAAACCTCCAGGTTAAGAAAATAGCTTCAAGGTTTACTCAAACTAGGCTTTCGAGGGCTAAAGAGTTAAACCTTTCACTGCACCACACTTTTTTAGCCAAAAGGCGGCAGTATTGTTTGTGTTTTCACCCTGTGTACTTCAACCAACAGGAGGCACTGCCATCACACCAACCTGTAATTCACAACTTTTAAAAGAAGGCCATTATATGCTGAGCAGGGAGTGACAAACCTGTTGTAGTTAAACTCTTAAATGTGATGAAGAGCAGCCACACGAGTTCTCGTGAGTTCTACTTTCTGAGTCCTGTTTGCACAATAATAAACGTTCAAACAGAAATCTACATGATGTGCTTGTGTTGCGTTTGTGCTGAAATTCACTGACACTGTTAATTTTTCTGTAGTTTGTTAGCTTGATAAGAAAGTGAACATCACGCCTTCGGAAAACAAATAGAAACGCCTTAAAGATGCACAGAACAGTCGTTACAAAGCATTGGAAATCACCTCAAGGGAATTGCTATCTTGGTTTTTCCGGCTGCTAACAGTTGTTTTCTCCAACACAAACAAGTACCGCTTTTGATAAAGGACGCTTTCGACATACCAACATGAGAAAGGATGATAATCCACACAAATCTTTCCCTGGAATACCTGGCAAGTCCCAGCCTGCCTTGTTCACCCTATTTCAAGAGTTTCTCTTTCACAAAATGAACTGAACGTTAGGCCTTCCTCAAAAATGTCTGCAACTGTCATATTGTCTCTTAACACCAACTAAAAGCTCACATAAAGTATGACCAAAACAAAGAAATCCAACACATATCCTAAAAAATAAAAAAACAAACAAACATCAAACAAGCAAACTAAAAAAAAAAAAACAAACCCCTAAAACATACATTTCATACTAAAGCTGACAGTGTTGAGAATCTGCAAGTGCTTGGAAGGAACACATGTAACATATCTGAGGACAGGAAGGGTTTCTCTTAGAGTCCATTGTTCCTTAAGAGGCCTTTTCAGCCCATCTAGGAACAGGTTTGAACATGAATTATGGGTGGTGGTGGTGGTGCCCCACCCAAGGCCATAGAGCCTCTCATGAGGTTATAGACAGAAAACTTTGCAAATACCACAATCCCACCCACTGTTCACGACACTTAATGTACTGCGGCCAGACACAGGGAGAGACTAGAGCATGTTCAGGGTTTGAAAGCCTGATTGGGAAAAACAGTCCGTGTTTATAACAGCATAGTAACAGCAGAGCTGAAATGAAAGTAGTAGATATAAACTCAGGCTTATCATGCTTTAAATATCCTCCCTGAACTTAACATATCCAGCTTTGCTCAAACTGAATTTAGTCAACGCTGCATAAGGTTTCATTTTGAAAGGATGAGTATGAGAAATGTACTTTTACATTTCTCATTTACACATTTCACTCAGTTGAAACTACAAAGATAGAGGGGCTCTTTCATTTGCTTTCCTAGTAGAGAGTTAGATAAGAACACATGATACCATCCATATCTTCCTGCATATTAACTGCAACCTGCAGTTAGTGTAGCTTAGCACTAAGCCTGGAAACAATGGGAAGCAGCTAGCTCAGTCAAAATGCAACAAAATCCAAGCTCAGTTAAATTAAACACAGCGACTGTTGTTATGTGCAAAAAAACATAGCTGGAAAATGAAAACTAACCATTTTGTGGACTTAACCTCTGGTGGGAGCAGTTTCTTTCTCAAGGGTGCTGGTACAGAATTTTTAGTGCTGTAGCTGCTTTCAATGTCTTTGTGAAATACAGCCCTAAAACATTGAACGTTAAACTTGAAATAGCAAAATACTAAAAAGAAAGAAAAATCTAAGCAAAGTAACTTAACCTGTCCGCCACTGCAGATCAGACCCTGACAGTCCTGTATCCCCAGTGGCCTCAGTAATTCAGACCCAACCAGGAATAGGTCACAAGTATATTGTCTGGTGTATATGCTCTGTGGTATCTGGTTTCTTTTATGATCTATTCACGCTTATTAACCCAGCAGCCTGTTCTTATTATTCTTATTATTTTATACTTGGTCTTTTTATAAGTACTTACTGAAACTTAAACCAGTGGGTGATGATTTTATTGCCTTGTGCAACCATCTGCTCTGAATGTTTTTTGCTATAGCAATACTCTGCTGTGACACACAGAACAGCACGGCGCTGCATCGTTTGTTGGCCCATCTGTCCCAGAAGCTGCAGACCAGCTACTGTATCCATAACCTCAGGTCCTTGATGTAATTTAACTCATTAATTCAATGTGATGTTGCAACATTCATTCAATCGGCTGCGTCATCTGCCCTGAGGATCCATTGTACTACATTGCAAGTACGCTGTGAATAACAGACTCCTTGCAGCAGTACTGCTGGATTAACGTGCATCATTCTTGTTGAAACAGGAAAAGCTGACTAAGCCGCAGGTCGCTGTGTTGAAAAGCACTGACACTGCCCCATTGTGTCATATCTGCCCCAGCACCCCTTTCAGGCGTGTGAAGAAAGACTTTGTCAGAGTGACAAACACAGAATTTATCATGTCTAAACAAATACTTATCGTAGCAAAAAGCACTCATTTCCTAGAAATACCATAAGGTACAGGTGTGAAGTGTAGAATTCAGGATGGATGCACTGAACATGCCCCCTCAATATTTAAGACTCATGCATTTAACACCTCAGCTCTATAAAACCATAAAACAATTCAAGGGCATATGTAGAAAAATGGCTTTTTCAGAAACTGTAGATCTACTGGGATTTTCCCACACAACTATTTACACATAAGTATTTCAAGAGTGAATGGTCCAGTATGAGCAAAGTGTACCTAATAAAGTAGTCAGTGAATGTATCTGAGGACACTTTACTCTTGCTGAAAGCCATCTAAGTTTTGAGACTCAGTATTTGCTAAGTGATTGTAGTGCCAATTCACATAGCACTTTGTACTGTAAGGTAAAGACCCTGCAGTATCAGTGAGAAAGATCCAAAAATCACATGACTGCCTATGAGCATGCACTTTGTGACACTGAGAAGGAAAAACTCCCTTTTAAGCAGAAGAAACCTCAAACAGAAGCAGGATCAGGGAGGGGCGGTCATCCATCACGCCCGGTTGGGTTGATGGAAAGAGAAAAGAAGAAGAGGGCCTGGGCAGACAGGACAAAAACAGAGAATGGGAAAGATGACTTTAAATTATAATGACATGTTGCAGTCATTTAGAAAATAACTGAATAATTCATTTATGAACCAGTGACACACTGGCATTTAAGGAAGTTGCTTTGTGAGAAAATGGCACAAAAGTTGCTTGTCATCAGACAGACTGTTAGCGTGTCACAGAGCAAAGCAAAAATAGAACATTAAGTCATGCCTGTGTGTGTGTGTTTGTTGAGAATAATTACCTGAAATTAAGAAGACTAATATTATATATTATCAGCCTAATATGCTAACAATTTAGGATGATTGAGAGACTCAATTAAACATATTAAAGTCAGAAGTCACCTAGGTGCTTTTCTTTACATAGAGACATTTCCATCACAAAATGAGGCAGACTCTACCCGCTTGTATTCCCTCCCAATGCTTAAGCGAAACCTACACCCGTGCTGTGAGAGGTGGGGAGAGGCTATAGTGACAAGAAATGTGAAAGAAACTTGGCGGTTGCTGTGTTTGGCTGTGTGAGTCACTGATAGCTTAGGGGGTTAGAACATGTCTTATATTCACAGTTGCTACTTCTATGTTTATGTTATGTAATCTATAGAATGCACCCTTGTCCAACAGCTGAATTCCTTTGTGAGAAAACGTGTTCACGCCTGAATGACATGAAATAATAAATGCTTTCTCCGTGTCACCCACCTGCATGCATGCAAATCCTGTAACACTGTGCTCTTAAACTTGTATCGTTACATTAAGAGATCTTTAAACAGTATAAACAGCAATCTAATAGTTGCTTTAATCTAATTAGCTTGACACTGCAGTGAATTTTCAGTCAACATGCCCGGCTCGTAATGCACCTGAAGTAACTTTTGTATCACGTAGCCAACCCTACACAAAAACACAGGGCATGCATAAGCCTACTAAAAAAATAAATTACTAAAGTAGCAATGAGTCACATCATTAGCTCATGAAAGACAAAGTTTTTTTTTTTCTTCCCAGACTTGTTCAAATGTCTGACATAAACTTTGGCATTGCTTTCAGAAGATAATCAACTTATTGTGCGTGATGACATCATTACAAATCAAAAACCTAGCCTGAAGTGGTGACTGATCAAGTTATAACAAGTGCCTGCAATGAAACACGATGACTTGCATCATGTCTTTCCAGTGTTTTTATGATTTAGTGGAGTGAACAGGCAGATTTAGTAGTCTCGGTTCTCTAAAACCACATTAGCGGCAATTTGGGTAATCGCTACATCAATTAGTCTCATCTAGAATTTGTCTGTACAAGTTCTGACACAAAACGTTTCAGATGTGTTTCTTTACTATAAAAAAGACCTGCTATTCAGCTTGAGTAACAGGTCTTAATGCCTCTGCAGTTTTGGGGTGGAGGTGACTGACAGATCCACATCAACAAAAAGCAAGGGTGAATATTCTGGATGCCTGCTAGAGGTGTGCCTCTTTTCTTTTGCTAAACTGAGGCACGCACCTGCAGCAGGTACTGCTTTCTGAAGATATTATTCCTTCGGGTCATGATGCAGGACACTCGCATTGCATTTTGACAATTTCTTGCAGGTACCAAATGAAATTTCATTGCACTGATTTGATCCTGGCTCAGGCCCTCAACTTTTTGGAGCTTGAATGGCTTCTTTCCAGTTCTAAATTGAACATAGTTGTGACTGTGAGTGTGAAAGGTTGTCTGTCTTTCTGTACGGGGTGATCGTGGCTCAAGAGTTGCCAGTTCGTCTTGTAATCGGAAGGTTGCTGGTTCGAGCCCCAGCTCGGACAGTCTCGGTCGTTGTGTCCTTGGGCAAGACACTTCACCCGTTGCCTACTGGTGGTGGTCAGAGGGCCCGGTGGCGCCAGTGTCCGGCAGCCTCGCCTCTGTCAGTGCGCCCCAGGGCAGCTGTGGCTACAATGTAGCTTGCCATCACCAGTGTGTGAATGGGTGGATGACTGAATGTGCAAAGCGCTTTGGGGTCCTTAGGGACTATACAAATACAGGCCATTTACCATTTACCCCTACAGGATATCTCAGTGTAAGCTGAGATAGGATCAAGCCCATTCTTGCAAACCTAAACTGTATAAGTGGAAGACAATGAATGGATGAATGGAAAATCACCTTAATTGTAAATTTGCATTTGTTGCAACACTTTCTCATCCATCCATCCATGCATACGTACATCCTCTTCTGCTTG